ATATCTTTGTTCTCCAACCTCTTTTTTTCAATTTGTCTTTTTGTCTTTCTTTTCTCCTATCACACTTTCTCGATGACTTACCTGTAAAAAAATCTTATGGTCAGAGACAAACCATAATCATCATTATAATTCATATAAGTTACATAATAAAATGAAATAATTAAATTAATTATAACAATCCAGTCACTCTATTTTTATTTTTTCCGTTTATTAAAATTTATTTTTATGTTTTTTTCTTTAGGTAATTTTGTAAATGAAATAAAATATTATTATTGATGTAATTTTTTTTTCACTGAATTAAATTTGATAAATAAAATTATACTTCAACTTTTTTGCAATAACCCTTCAACTATATATACTTATTCAGGAATGCTATCATGTACTTATTAAATAAAAATAGAATAATATATGCCTGTTAATAAATTAAAAATACTATAATTTATACTGTTAAAAAATTAATAAATATACTTTAGTATGTTCTAATATACTTCTAAAATAAAAAATACAAATATATTTAATGTAATAGAAATGTATTAGAAGAAGGTCAACTAGAAATACATGTAATCATGCAGTCTGTAGTTAAATAAAGTAGTGATAATGATATTTTATTTCAGTCACCAAAGTATGAAAAAATAAAACTTAAACAACGTAATTTAATAAAAAAATATTTTAAACAAGGTGATTAAGGTTACAAGAAGGATGTATTAAAAGAATACACGTTAGTTCTTATTTTATTTAGAATATTGTATATTTTTATCATCAAATATGTGTATATTTGAAGTGTTTAAAGGATTAAAATAATATTTAATGATGGTAATGTAAATGAGACGAAAATTATATATTTAACTAATAAAATCGAACAAAAAATGTATAGTCACTTGATAAATTATTCATTATTTTTCAGATTTTCTCGTATAAAATAAAATTTATTAAAATATAAAGAGAAATAAAATAATGCATAGATAGATATCCATAAAAGTGAAAAAATTTCAAATAACACCTTAAAAAATAAGAAAGTGTAAAATTTGATAAAAAGTGTAAATAAATGTGTGAGTGAAATAAATGAAAGAGAGATTAGAGATGGGGAAATGTGGAGGTGAAATTATGTTACCGACATGGCATGGAAGTTAGTGTTTTGTTTTTAATGTAAGTCAAATAAAAGTTGGACACTTTTGACAGCTTTGTTACATGTGTGTTATTTCCACATACTTTACCCCAATATACACACTTTCTAATATCAACCCTTTCTTTCTCACTCAAATGTCCACATTTCATTCTAAATTCACCCACTACTTTTGAGTAGTCTATGTCTTTTATGCCATATATTTATAACAAAACTTGCACCAAATATCAACATTGACCTCGAAATCTCTTGTTCAAACAACTAAAACTTTCATTTAGTTTTTTTTCTTAGACGACCAATTTAGTTTCTAGAACACGGTGTTCTTATATATGCATGTAACTGCAATAATTAAATCAAGCGAAAAATAAGAAGGACAAGTTGAAAATATATTCCACAAGAGTTGCAACCAAGAAACGGGTGTAGGAAAACAAAATCCATGTATATAAATAAAAATTGTTAAGAGGTATCTACTTCTTAAATATATTACTTTAAACGATAAAAAAAACACCCTAATTTAAAAGGAAAAGAGTAACTTTCATAGGACTCGCATGACGATTCTTGTAAATTAAAAAACTCAATTTTGTATAATATTTGGATCGGTGTTTGAGTCAAAAGAAACGGTTAAAAATGAATTTAATTTTACAGTTTAGATGGAATTCATGTTTTTGAGTCAAAGAATCCGTGAAGGTTTGTTAAAGTCAATTTGCGCACATGCTGGTTTGAGTCAATTTCAACACTTGTGTCAGTGACTCTTCATCGCTTTGGCCTAGTCAAAAGTCTACGATACATAATTCAAATTCTTCAGCAGTTGTAAACGCGCGTTTAGTTTTCTTGTGACGTGTTTGGCAACTCCATGAACTCGTATTCGGGATCTTAAAAACTGTAACTATCATGAAGGAAGAGTTAAAACTTGTGAATGCAAAATGGAATGGATGGCAGTGAAGAAAATTAAATTTTATCTCAATTATGTAATCAAAAGTTAGAATAAAAATTTGTAACATCGAAAGCCAAGTCTTATATTAAACCTAAGGAAATTTTATTTTTTTACTATTCTGCTGTAATTTTTTTTTAAATTATCATTTTTTTAAAATAATAAGTCATATTATCACGACTTCAAAATTAAACAAATTGTGTTTGGGAGATAGTTTTAGTATAATTTTTTTTTCTTTTAATTTTAGGTATGTAGTACAATTCATATATATATTTGAATATCAGTATAGTATAATTTTTACTTTTTTATTTTAATAATTTATTATTTTTATTATAAATAAAAAATATATAATTTTATTATTATTATAAATAAATAAAATATAACAATAATATTTTTATATTATTAATATAATTTAATAATAATTATTAATAAAATAAATAATAAAAACTATGTTATATTATTTATATAATTAAAAATAATTATTGATTTTATTATTATATTATTTTGTTATTATTATTATAATTCATAATAAAAATAAAATAATTTTGTTAAAATTTTACACAAACTTTTAAAAAAAATTGTGTAAAAATTTTAATATTTAATAATATAATATTATTCACAATAACATTAATAATAATGATTTTTATTATTATAATTATTATAATCAATATTATTATTAATAATTTAATTGTACAATTAATATTATTTCATTAATAATAAAAAAAATTATTTTATTTTATTATGAATTATCAAAATAATATTAATAAAATAAATTAATAATTATTTTTAATTATATAAATAATATAACATTATTTATGTTATTAAAAATATTAATAATAATTATTATTATTAAATGTATTAATAATATAAAAATATTATTAAAAAAATAAAACTAAAAATCATATTACGTGACTACTTAAAATAACTTAAAAAAATATTTATTCTAAATGGTCTCATCAAATATAATTTCTTATTTTGGAATCATACGACATATGATAAGTTAAAAAAATATTACACCGAATTCTTAAAAAAAGCCGGAATTTTATCTGACTTTTCTTCTAAATCATTAAACCAATTTCCAAATTAAATCAATGGAGGGTTGGGCTTAATGGGCTCATGTGTTATGGCGTACATGTGTAATGGAGAACTTTCAAATGAGGAAATGGGTATTTCTTTATGCACCCATAAAAATTATTGTGTGATTTCTGTATTTTAAATTCTGTAAAGTTTAGAAATTTAGGTTCGAAATTTAGCTGTTTAACATTTTGAAAACTAAATTTCTAAAATTTATAAGGTTAATTTACGTTCAGGTATTTTGATTCCAAAATTTTTTACTTTGAAATTTAGATTTTGAAATATTGTATGATAAAAACAAGTTTGAGAATTAGTTTCATCCATGGGTACACAATAACATGGTTCATGAAGGACCTTAGCATAGAAAAGGCTGGAGAACCTCCTAAAAATGTCTCATCAATAAATTGCTCTAGTATTAGACTCTATGGATTAGTAATATAAATGAGTTTAACAAAGAAAAATAGGATTTGAACTCATTAAATAAACAAATTTAAATTTGATATTAACGATTATGATAGTTTGTTTATTTAAATTAACAATAAAAAAGGAAGCCATTGTTACTTTTAATAATTGATAAAAAAACTAAATTTGAAAAAGGAAATGATGATTGTATCCCTCATTGTAGAAGGTGCTCGAGAATATTGTCTTTTAGAAGTAAACATTTTTTTTTTCAATATAACGGTTACATTAAATGGAACATAGTTTTCCTTTTACTTTTTCTATATGACCACTTTTCAATAGTTTTTTTTTTTAATTTATTGGTCTATTTACAAGTGTAAGATAATATGGATTATTTCTACATCTTTTGTAACATGCATTATGGCATTAGTGAAACACGCATGATGCAATTAATTACAGTACTCAGAATCTGTCGAACAACTTACAGACACAAATGATGGTTGATTTGGTTTGGGGTTTTTCTGTGGGACGAATGAGCCCAAGGAAGGACAGTTTTAAAAATACTTAAATTGCGCCAACCATCATAATATTTGCATTTCCATTTGATTGAACGTTGCATTTATTCCTAGGGAATATAGGGGAGGAGAATGTTGTGTTTGCAAGTTATGTTTTTCTTTCTCCCTAATTATAAGCATAGATAACTAATTCACGTATTAAAGAATTTCGTTAGTTAACAGTAATAAATTAAGTCGTATTTATAATATTTTTTCTAAAATATCCTGAAAAGTCCTGGTAATTTTAACTTCAAAACGGTCCGCATTAGTTTGGGTTTAGGGTTTACCTAAAACTACCATAGGTCTGCCAGTTATCAAAGGTTGCAGATACACAGCGCTGTTGGCAACAATTCTAAATTATAGCTTTAGGTAACGCCAGCAATCAAACACTAGTATTTATGTGACTGAAAGGTACGGAATTTTCTGTATCATCCTTTACTCGGTAAATCCATTTTAAAACTATGACAATACAATTACAACAAAAGTCAGTGATGTTTTGCTACATAAATCAGTATACAGGGTTGTGTATGAATCAAGTAGTATTGGTGTAACATGAAAAACTGGAGGCCAAGTTGTGGCTCAAATTGTATACATTCATGGGGTTATTTATTCCTGTGAGCTATGTGTGTGCATCAAAAGTTACAGAGATGGCTAGAGATGCAACCAGGGATATTCCTTTCTCTGATGATTACTGTACATGGCAATAGGTATCTTGCACAATCCTCCACATGACAATGCTGTAGGGGAAAAGCAGACCAACCCCAGGAACCAATTTTTTCTTTCTCCCTAATGTTGCGTTGCCTCATGGCCGAGGAGGGATGCTGCTAACCTGCTACATTTAATTACTTTCCCTAAGCAATAATTGTATGTTTAGCCGAAACCTATGAAAATGAATCTTCCATATCGATTGAAAAAAATGTTATAGAGGTGTAAAAGGTGAAGGCAATCCCTTGGCATGTTGACTCTCTAGCTCAAGAAGCATCAATGTTTTCTGCCTCTGATATCGGTTTCTCTTGGCAGCTAAAGCTGCAAAAAAAGTCATAGAATAGTCGACAGTTAGCACAGGATTTAAATATTCAAAGTTGATAAATAGAACTTTTTAAATTCGAAGTACATATAACATCGAATATCTCATCATTTGGTGGACTGTAAGCCGCTCAAACCTACGACTTGCTAGATGGGAAATTCAATGAGAGAATCCATTTTATGAAACACAAAACAAAACATTACGGCAGGTGCTATGTGTAAGGCCACTAAAAAACGGTTAGATTGGATTTAAATGCCTTCTACTTCATTTGACTTTGATCCAACCCCATCTTAAACCGGAAATGGAAGTTGTTCATAGGAAAAATAATGATTAATAAAGATCCGGTACGTCAACTTAAAATCATGTTTACAAAAATAAAGAATGTTCGTTATTTCCCACTTAAGAAAATAATGAACAAATGATGAAGACTTGAATAATACACATGACAGCTGAAGTAAAATCAGATCTATGAAGGATGCTGCTTTCAATGATCTTGTCTGGAGCATTTACATTTGATTGAAATTTCAACCAGTAAGGTTTGCCAGTACAAGAAAAAAAACAAATAAATACAGCACAAAGATGAAATCATATGTGTGTAAATATTATTCATACAAGAGACCAAGAGTTGCAGAAAAGAGCAACTACTCTCCGAGAAAACAAATAAAGCAACATCACGTTAGCCCCAGAAAACAAATACACGTCTCTAGGAATATTATAAATAAAAATGCTCGACAAATGCAGAATCTTATTGAAATTATACTTACACATTAACTCATGAGGCAGAGCAAAATCATAATCGTTCCTTTTCCTCCTGATATAGATATATGCTAGCAGCAGTACCACACAGAAAACAAGAAGACATGACAAGCCTATTGCAAGTTTACCCCGAGTGGATAATCTGCCGTGCTCCCAAAATATAGGACATGACGGAAGAGATGGTACACCGCACAGTCCCTTGTTGCCAGAGAGACTGAATAAAAAGCAAATCAGGCTGAATATTGAGAAGAGATTATATCTCATTGGATTATACCATCGTAACAAGTGTGTGATATGAAGTTATTTTTTGCATCTTTTGCAACCATAGAAAACTAAACAAACTACTAATTTAAGCTGAGTCTAGCATTCAAAGCTGATGACAATTAAGTTGATTGACATGATGATTCATCATTTGGATGGGCATAGTGTAACAGTTTAATTTTCGTGCTCACACACACGTGGTGACTGGGAGATTGGGAAAACAGTCAGACAAGAGACAAAAATAAGGCAAATAAGGATTATTATACACAAGCGAAGTTATTCAACATTTCAATATGAACACAACATTATGCAGTAGCAGAGCAGAGATAGCAAATTGAAGTGACATACTCAATAGATCCACCATGCACACCCACCGAATAAAGTTGCTCTGGAACTCGTCCTTCCAATAGGTTACCATTCAATAGCCTGAAATGACTAAATAGATTAGAAAATGACAATCCTTCATAAAGCAGAAGCATGGAAACATCCCCATTTCTTACAGAAAAAGATAGAGTTGGGGAAAAATAAGTGCTAAAACTAGAGGAAGGACTACACGACTTACAAAACAGAAAAATAAAGAAAAGAATAAGGTTATATAACCTATAGAGACGATCCTATTAATTAATGCAGATGTAGTGGATACTTACACGAGCTTCAAATTCGAAGATGCTAAGTCGTCAGGAATGGATCCCGTTAACTGATTGTTGGATAAATCCCTAGAGTGAAGGAGGAGAATTTGTAAGGTGATATAGCATTATACTCGTCTGCTAGAATTTGTATCTAACAGAAATAGTAACTGATCTTACACTTGTGTAAGAGATTTTTGACCAAGTCCCGGTGGTATTTCACCCGCCAAGGAATTAGAACTCAAATTGCTGTAAAATAAAGTTACCACCAATATGAAAATGAGCAAACTATCTGGCAAAACAAATGCTGCATGCAACGGAAGCCGTATATGGCAAAGGCATACAAAATCGTTGCAAACATTGAAACAGAGAGCAACACTTAATTTTAAATAACGAATGTGGATACAAGAATGAAGCCTTCACAAAAGGAAAAAAAAAAATGTAAGCAGAAAAAATGCGAATATCAAGGACAAATAAAAAAACTTACAGATTTACCAAGTCTGACAAAAGACTAATCTGGTCGCTGATGTACCCTTTCAAGCCCTGACTGCCAAGATCTCTGATAAACCAAAACAGACATTAAGATTCATTGTTAGTTCAATTAGCAGCGTAAATAAATTGAAAAGCGTGGAAAGAAGAGTTACATTACATCTCACTTATGACGAGAGCAGTTTTATCGGTAGTCATGCGGCAGGTAACACCCTCCCAAGCATCCCATGTAGTAGGGGCACAGGGATCACCGTTCCAACCCATTCTATCAGGAATACGAAGCGACTCTTTCAACTCCTTCATCGCAGTCACTACAAAACGCAATACAATTCATAACATTCTATAATGTTATTATGAAACTATGAATGAAATAAAATTATAGAAAATGTGAGACCTTGAAGAGGGAGAGTGGAAGGATCGATAGGGACCAAGGCGTAATTCTCAACGGCACTAATGAGAGGGGCACCAACAGCTGGCACGAACTTCAGTGTCAACACGTCAGAGCTCAAGTTCTTGATGGTGTAATTCAAAGTCAACGCAGAGAAACCACCAACTTGTTTGTATATGTCAACCCTGGCCACATTATCGCCGTTGATGAGCACGTCGAACACCCTCTCCCCTGCTTTTTTAACGCTGGAATCGATCTCCGCGAAGTGCAGCCACACCGTATAGTCCATCTTCGCGTCCACACCCAATTCGTACACCAATGGCCCCTCCGTGGTCACCGCCGACTGGTACAACTTCATGGGGAAGTAATTAGGCTCCTCATCGGCGCCGGAGATTGAGTTCATTGTGGAGAGGAAGCGGACGTCGCTGGAATATTGGGGGATTTTTCGGAAGGCGGAGTCCGGCTGCCAGGAGCGGGCGAAGCGGTCGGTGTCGTTGGAGAAGTCGGCACCCCAGTGGTGCGGGGTGCCGCAGGAAATGCGGCCGTAGTTGACGAGGATGATGTTGTCGGGGGCGTTGTAGGCGGCAGGATGGACCTGGAGGAGCTCGATGGAGGAGACAAGAGGGGCGTCGGTTGCGAAGCCGTAGAAGCAGAGATCGAGGGAGGAGGAGGTGTTGGGGAGGGTGGCGAAGAGGTCGGAGTAGGCGCCTTTGACAGCGGTGGACTCGGGCCAGGGAGAGCGCCAGCTGAAGAGGACGGTTGATGAGAGAGCGACGTCAAAGGAGGGAGGGCGGGACTTGGCGTCGTAGTTGTCGTAAACGGTGAAGGTGCGGAGAAGGTAGCGAGAGGAGGAGGGGAGGGAGGGGAAGGTGTAGCAGTTTCTCTTGCCACAGGAGGAGGGAGGAAAGAAGCGGAGGGTTTTCTCGGAGGGGAGGGGGAAGTTGAGAGGTTGGGAGACGAGGGCGGAGGAGCCGGCAGAGAAGAAACGGTCGGAGAGCCATGTGGTGTTGAAGGAGTCGGTGGAGTTGGCGGAAGTGCCACGGTTAATGCGGTAGGAGAAACCTGTGGAATGGAAGAGTGTTGGTGAATGCAATTGAATGTGAGAGGGGAGAAGAAGAGTAAAGTTGAAGTTGTTAGTTACTTACCGTAAGGGTATGGTGGTGGTGATGGTGGAGGTGCAGAGGTGGTGATAATGCAGAAGAAAAAGATGAAGAGAGAGTAGAGTAAAGTCATGGTGTGAAAGTGAACGAAAGAGAGAGTTGTGGAGATAATAATGATATAGCAAGAGAAAGAGAGTGGGGAATGGCGAGATTAGCGGGGGAATATGGTTGAGTAGAAGGAGAGTAGGTATGAACACTATCCTGTGCAATGCAATGCAAATTTTGGTGCCAAAACTTTCTCTCCTTTTCCTCTTTTCTCTTCACTCCTTCAACTTTCAACACTTTCCTACTCCAAACAAACAAATGACCGTTGTTATTCATTCCTCGTTCTCAATAAAGTCCATACACAAGATAATTCTCCTACATTTATATGTAATTCTTTGAAACAAAAATAAATGTTGGTGACATTTAACAACGTCATGCTCCAGAGACTCGTTTCCAAATACACGTTTTGAACTTATATTATTTATAATTATTATTTTATGGAAACTAAATAAAATTCTTAAATTAACTCCACCTTTCACGGATTTTGTTTTTTCATGTTTAACCAAAATATTGACTCCATAAAATAATGAAGTGTTACGTCAATATAAAAATTCAGTCGATTAGTGTTTTGCTGGTCTTTTTCATTTTATTTTTCTTTACAAAAACATGAAACCAAACAGATTGTAAGAAAAATTAAAAAAATGTCACATATTTGACAAAAGTTGATACTATTAAAAAACTACTCGTTGGATTAAATTTTGACCAAAATAAATCAACGTAAACGATGTTTATTGTCATTATTATATTTATTTACTCTAGTTAATACTGTTTGATAAACGCTTACCCAAAAAAATTATAGAATATGAATTTGGTAACTAAGTGAATTAATCTTATGTAATTTAAAACAATTACATTCTTCGACATTTAAATTCACGAGCAATAATCAAATTATCACACATTTTTATCAACTAAACTGCAAATTTTCATGGTACAAATAATATAATTGATTACTGTGAACTATTTGTAAAGAATTCAATTTTCAGTAACAAACGATTAATTATATAATACATATGTAGATATCTGAAATAACTATTATCAAAATAAATAATTTGTAACACTCTCTCGTTTAATATATATATATATATATATATATATATATATATATATAACTTCGATTTCAAAATAACTTTAAAATTGAGTTATATAAACTTATATAAGCATTAATTCTCATTATTTTTAGTAAATTTTTTAATTTTTTATTAATATTCGTATCATCTTAGTACACTTCCTTCCTTCAAAATTTTATAAAATAATATATTATCTCTTCTATCTGTAATTAATGTAATAAAAAAATAGATATATAATTGATAGAAAAGTAATTAATATAACCTTAAATTTTTCAAACGTAGAAATTATACAACTTTTCAAACATTATATATTTAAAAACAAAAATTTCTACCAAAAATATCATATATTTTAAAATAGGAAAAGCATAATGAATTGGTATCACAGTTTTTCTACACAACTAATACTCTAATTATTATTTTAAATTATATTGCAAACGTATGTTTGATATATTTAATAGTGTTTTTCAATTCAGCGAATGACAAGATCAATAAATTATAAATTATTAAATGAAACATGTTTAACAACAACCTATTAACCGAGGTTAGATTTCCAAGTTACGAGATTAATTCAAAGTTATTTAATACTTTAACAATGTACATTAAAATTAATTTAATACTATTTTTTAAATACATAGTATAAAACATTAATAATTTTCTTGATCTTATTTAAAAGGTTATTAGTTATTGTCATGTATGATCATAGCTAACGTCATTATAAAAAATCTCGTTATATATAAAATTGTTAAACATATATGAGTCAATATAACTTATAATTTCACAATTGATAATAGTTATATAAAATAATTAAAAAAGAAGAGAAACGTTGAAATGTGTAGTTTATATGTTAGTACTAAATGTGAGTGGGTGGGTAGTTGGGTTTGATTGGAGAAACGTGGTAGCCACTACGCATGCGAGTGAAGGCAACAACACACACCTGATTTAGTCCAGGGCAGGTGTGGCATTTAAGTTATATCTCTGGTTTTTCACTTAATCTCTGTTACTGCATTCAATTTTAATAATTTATCTCTGTTCATGTGCCCTACATACAATTTAAAGTTAATCTTCATATTCAAATTCATTTAACGTATATTGTTTTCATTTTATGATATCCACATCTTTTGAGTTACCATTACATCTACAAATATAGCTTTGAAAAAGTTAACAATTATCATTTATAATGTTTTAATTCAATTAGTTGAATATGGTGCATTACTAGTTGTAAACTTTTTTAATCCTTCTTCTATTCATATGAGTTTTATAAAAAATTTCAGAATACAAAATAAATAAAATATGCTTAATTTATTAAATAGTGTTTTTTTTTCTTTCCCAGTTTCCTTGATTTAAGTCATTGTCACTGACATTTTTTTTTCTTTTTAGACAACGAATTGAAAAAACCAACTAATTTAAATTCTTTCCATTTGTTCTTTTACGTTTTATCCCAAAATTTTCTTAAATTGCGCATTCATCTAGCAAGACTCAAAAAGGCCTGTTCCACCTTTCCATTCCCATCTCTTACAAAAGTGTCATTTGGAGGGAACTAGATTTTCATATCTTTTTTTCTGCATCTTCAACTTGCTATTTTTTTCACCGAACATTGAATTAGGTGCCATTTTCATGTACGTGAACTTAGGCCCATGTAATGCACGGTGGATGTTGGAGAAGGAGATTTGGTTGATTGACCAACAAAACGAAATGAACACCAACTGAAATATTCTTATTAATTTATTATTTTTATTCATTTGTTTGTCCCTATCCATAAACGTACTATATACTTTTTTCCTACAATAACATTTATTTTTTAGCTTTAATTTCTATATGTAGGATTAATTTGTGAATGATTAAAATTAATAATTTTCTAATGATTAGGATGAAAATTAAATTTGTACCGATGGAATTGATTATTTCTTTTTTGAATTTGATTTAAAAAAATTGATTTGAAAAAATTGACCAAGAATGGGATAAAATACGACAATTTTTTTCATTTTAAACAGTCTGGAGAAAAGATGTTAACAAGTAACGTACTTCCCACCTTGACAACGTCTCCTCTTCAATTTTATATTTAAATTAAAATTTGAAAATATTAATATTTTAAAAATATTTATTTATTTTTATAGGTCATTCTTTTATATTTCATCATTTGTTTCCTTTACCAACTTTTGAATTATTTTATCTTTTTTAATTTTTTATATCAATTAATTTATTATATTATTATATTTTTTTTATTTTTTACTTTCTATATTTCCTTAATTTTTTTAATTTATTTATTTTTCAATATTTTTAACTAATTTAATGAATACAACATTAACCTTTTTTTATTTTTTATATTTTTTTAAATATTTTATATAATACTAATCATGTTGAACAAACTCAAAACTTAATAGAAATTAAGATTGAAACTTAATTTTTAATTTCAACAACAATAGAAGACAGGACATTAATGGTTAAAAAAAGGCGGAGGCAAAATACAGCCGGCCGCCTTACCTAGTCCCGCCTAAGAGAGTGTAAATTGTTGTATGAAAAGTTAGAGAGATAGGTGTAATGAGAAAAAAGGGGGTGGGAAAAGAAAAGGCCAGTACCTGTGTTGTGAAGCCCAAGAAAAACTATGGGGCGGGCCTTGAAATCGAAGTGCTATTGGCACTGAAATTTTCTCAACCGTTGGATGGGTTTATTGGACGACAAAACCCACTCTATCCAACATTTTTGTTTGCATGCGTTGAACCCCATCCATTTCTCTTATCCTTATCTCACAGTCTTCTCTACAAATTACCACCAAAACTCAGTTCTGTTTATTGACAGGAGAAACTCTCAGTCTTCCTTGGTAACTTTCTATTGCCCTGTTTCTTGCTCAATGTTTGAATTGCTTCACTGTTGGTTTCAAATATTTTGTTTGATCGCCTCTCCTCACGAATGCTGTTCCAGGAATCAACCAAGCTCAAAGATGGTGGTGAAGATTCGATTGGCAAGGCTCGGCTGCAGGAACCACCCATTCTATCGTGTGGTTGCCACTGACAGCAAAACACCAAGAGATGGCAAGCAACTTGAAGTTTTGGGCTTCTACAATCCTATCTCAGGTTATTCTCTTATTCTTAACTTATTGTATATGGTTCTGTTCACTGAGGTTGAAAATTTCCTTTTTTAAAAGAAACATTTACAGGGTTATATCAGTCAAATTTGCAATTTGCTCTTCAGTACAAGGTAAGAAAAAACTAAAAATACAATTAAGCCATTGCTGTACATTTATAAATACAAAAACCTGCTGCAAATGTAGTGTCTATTAGTTACTGTTATGTCTAATGTTTATCCGTTAGATATTAAAAAGATGATTGAGGATGGTTTTAGTTGGTGCAAATTAATTTTTCTTCAATGTATTACTTTTGTGCAGGCAAGGATGAAGAAAATATGCGTCTCAAACTAGAAAGAGTGAAGTAAGTAACTTTCTCTAACGCTAGGTTATCTAGTTGTGCGTATACCAATGAGGGGAGAATAGTGTTACTTCCAGGAACATGCTTCATTATTTGCTTGGCAAAACCTTACCGGGGTAATATCTTAAGTCTTGCAGGCTTGTAGGGTACATAAAACATGTATGAAATACTAAAATACAAGGCACATAGTTTTTGTTTCCTACTCCAAAATAATTGTAGCTCCGAATTTTCATTTTTTGTTTTCTACTCTCCTGAAATTTCCTTCATACATTAAAGTTGTCTTTACGATTTTTGTTTTTTTCTTTATACATATACTTCTGTCAAATTACTAGGTAGAAGTTTTCATGGTTGTAATGGGCTTGTGCTATTGTGCAGAAGGCCATTGACAGGTATAATGAGATATATTGTAGTTGCATTTCATAAATTTCTCTACTTCAAAGATTAGGATTAAATTACCTATGTCAATTGTCTTTGATAAAGAAAAGCAATTGTTTCTGGTTGCATGAATGACAATCCATATTTATATTTATGAATTTAATTGGACAGCCATATACATTTGTTTGACAGCATCAATTCCCCCTATGTTTTATAGGTATTGGCTTTCTGTTGGAGCTCAGCCTACAGAATCTGTCGAGTATCTTCTATTTCGAGCTGGTCTAGGACGTGAAGGTGGACCATCTGAGAAATTCTCTTTTGCTGCTCTTAACCAAGAGCAACCAACCGAAGCTGATGACAGTAAAGATAATGGTGAGCTGGACAGTCCTCTATAACCCTCTTTCTGTCCTACTTTTGGTTTTCTTTCTCATTTCTTTTACCATTTCTTCTAGGTACATCTCCAGAAGCTATATTTTCTATTGGCCTACAAGTTTGAAGAGACCTCCATAGGTTTGGAGGAGGTGGGTGGTGCTGTGAACATGTCACCCAAAGCAAGGCCAAGACTTTGATCAATTGTTTGTATTGTTCAATACCACCTAGAAATAATTTATAGGTTATCTGGCTGTTGAGAAACTGATTAAATTTGTTTTCTGGATCTTTGTATTGGGTGGTAGTATGGTAGCGAAAGTAGTTCATTTGATTTTGACTTATGTATGCATGTATGACATTGTTGTCAACACTTACGCATTTGCAATTCTTCTTGATTCTGGGTATTGATTTTGAAATATTATCTTGTTTTCTTATGTGTATGTATGTATATTATAAAAGAATTTGCAAACTCTCTCAAAACATTTGAAAATCATGTAAATATTTTTAATTGTAAATGAACAGCACCTTGTTCAAAGTTCAGACACTGTCATGCACCACACACGAGACTTAGCTTCTACCCTGCAAGATTTGGCAAGGAATAATGCCTCAAGGTTCATATTGAGTATTTTTATTTTTATTATTATTATTTTCTTTGTTTGTTTTGACTTTGTATGGACCGTGCATATCAGAATTAAGTGAATGAAATTCTATGTTATTTTCGGAGTTAGTAATACTGTTACATATATTGTGCTGTATGTTGATTCTTAGAACTGTTAAATGCAATCAACACTTTTGATGAGTACCTGTTCTGCTGATGATTATTTTCATTAGAGTTCTTGTTCAGTTTGCAAGATGGTTTGATGTAAGGAGCGTTTATCCTGTTCTGCATTATGTACTTGCCATACTTGCTAGAGACATCTTCTGCCACTCTTCATAGCTGAGACAGGTAAAAATAGCAGAGATAGATCTTGCTACTCTTGATATCTGAGAGAAGACCGGAGAAAGTTGGGAGAGTTTGACCAAATAACTGGCTCTATATTTTAAAAACCAATTAGATATTTGCACCCATTTACATAAGCCGGTTGTAACCAAACCATAAGGTTTGGTTATAATGACCACTAGGCTGATATAGTTGTGCGTTATATGAGTAGTAGTCCCAACTGAATTCATGGAATAGGGTTAGTTAATTCTTAGTGTGGGAAAGATAGGAAGAAAAAAAAAAAATCAGGCACTACTTGAGGGGAAAATAGCAGAGTTCCAAATGTTGTGAGTGGTGTATATCTCTTTATGCTACACTTATGTCATTCTCCTGGCTTTCCCTACTAATGTTTTGTTGGTTCCATCACATCCACCGCACTGCCCTCCATCACCTACATAATACACCACACCCATGCTAGGGAAGCGAATCCAGGAGAGTTTTGTCGACTTTTGCTTCTGTTGCAACAAAATCCAACGTCCCTTGCCTTACCGTTAAATAGTGGTAAAAAATCATCCAAGGTCCTCCATTAATGATCTTGTCTCCATCTTTATCTAAATCCCGCGATACCAGGTATTAACCATTCGTGTTGTCCATTAACTCAAACCCTCCTTCAAGTCTCCAAAGTTCTCTGGGTTATCTCTTAAGATATTGAAACCCACTATTTATCCAACAATTTAACAACTAGGCATTTCTTCCACAGCAAATAGAGGCTATCAAACACTTAAAGTTCTATGGTAAATTTTGCGAGTAATCTATTAACGTTCTCATATTCCAACATCATTGCACCTTCATGCAGGGGATTCCTTGGCTGTCTTTTAGTTGTTGCATGTTCAATCACTTTCTCTTTGAAAAGCCTTTACATAACTAGTCTCTATATCTTCTGGGGGATATAGTGGTATACTCAATTCAGTCTGCTTCTTAGTGACACTCTTGACTTCTACTTTCATCTTGATCTCAAGTATTTAAGCTTTTATTTCGAGCAAATTTCAATCAATATTCGAAGGTTGTATTGGCCAAAAATTGATATTTTACCAACATAAATATTAATTAATCCATCTATTTCTTGTGTGTAGATTGTACGTTATTGTTTTGAATTTTGTTTATGTTATATATTTGAATTTTGTGCATAATTATTTTGAATTTTGTGGGTTGATGTTGTAAATTTTGAATATTGAGTGTTTAATATTTTATGTTTTATATTCTCCTCTAGTTCAAAGAATAAATATAGTAAGATAAGATAAGAAGTTAATGTTAAAATATATAATTATTTTTTTCAAGGAAAAGATATCTGTTATTCATCAAGATTGATATCATACTTTTGCCAACAAAAAGTTATTTTGATTCTCTTTTAAGAAGAAAAAAAATGTGATATGAAAAAGAAGGCTCTCCCTTAACATTTCGACTCAAATATGTCAAAAAAGACGAAAAAGAATAGACAATATTGAGTTATAAATATTTTTAAACATGATTTTTAAAATAATTATTATAAATATTACCAAATTTATCATATATGCAAGTAAATGTATCTTAATTAATTGTTTTTTTTCACTCAAAAATTCTGTATCCCTTGATATATGATAATATTATTGTATTAAGTATGGCATGCAAAAAGAGAGTATGTTAAAATCCCGCAAGGTATTATGTCCAGACTTTAGAAACTAGACATATTAAAATATATTTTCCTGAGAATTTTTGTAAAGTATTTATTCATTACTCATTAAATAAAAAGTTACACTCACGTAAATTTCAGTAAACACTTAAAATATATAATGAGTTAGAATATCAACAAAGTCGTTGTAGTATAGTGGTGAGTATATCCGCCTGTCACGCGGATGACCCGGGTTCGATCCCCGGCAACGGCGAATTTTAAATTTATTTTGTTACATGAGATATGTAACATAAAACCCTTCCTGTGTCTTTAACTAACTAATATCAACTTACAATTTTTAGGATAATCGATGACATTGTGTTGCTGTTTTTGATTAAGGAATGACATTGTCTTTATGACATCCTTTCAAGCCTAAAGATTCTTGCTAACGGGGACACGAAACCATTTTCACATGTTTTTCTACCAACTTTAACTTTTGAACTCAAGAACATCAGCACATTACTACTTTAACCGGGATGGACTTCTTGCAATACTTTTTTTTATGCAAAAGTTGATAGACTGCACCTCCTACGTAGCAGGGCAGCATGACTGAGAAAGGTATGTCATGTGAGTGTTTGTAGGCTGATTGAAAAGTACGAAATATAAATGGAGGATGGATTTTTGTGGAGCCATGCTTCAGCAACTACAAGAGTTATCTTTCTTCTGAAACCAACTTTTTTTGAGCATTTATAATCTAGGTGGTAATTAAGCTCTTTTCTTTTCATCAGTAGAAAACTGAGGCAAGAGCAAGAAGGATATCTTGCCGAGAGATATCTGATATACACTTTTTTTATACATTTACACAAACAAGAATAATAATACTTTTTGAACTCTCTCAACTGTCATCGGAACTCGCAGAGGGAGAGATTGTATAAGAACCTCGAAAGATAGTATAAATGTGTCCCTCAATCAATGCAGAAAAAAGTCTTGTGGAGCAGTTGGATCCCACGGAGGAATGAAGATTGTAAATAATTATGGTACACGTGAGAACTTTGTCTGTATTTTGGATAACAAAATTATTTATCTTGATGAGATAGAACGACTTTTAATCTGAAAAGAAAAAATAAACCAAGCCTGGCGGAGATGTAAGGAGAATCTTTTGACCGCACGTGTGAACCTGCTTTATCTAAGATATGTTGAGAAGGTGTTGAATGATGGAAATTGTGATAAATAACATGACAGTGTCTTAGAATGACACCTTTTTTTATTTTCCTTTTGGCCAGCTGTTATCCCATCGAGAATTAAAATTCATTGTTGCCTTTAGACTTTGGAGAGCACGAAAAGACCTTGTAACTTCTCACTTCATATTTCTCGAGTGAGTGAATTATGGTAACTTCTTTTCTATGGATGACCATTTTACTTCAAGATATGATCCAACTTTGGATCTTCAAAAATTTAACTCTTTAAGAATCATGTACAGGGTCTTGCATCTCCTTGTACGCTTTCTCCTCAAATTACGGGATAATAATTGAATACATAATTGAATCAATTTTTACTAGATGTGAGAGACAACAGTTAATTATATATGGTTAAAAATAACTATGCTAAAGCTAATTATATCAACTTGATTATTTGTACAATTAAAGTAAATTGGGTATTTTGACTTGAAATAATATAAACTACATCTATTCATTATTTAATATAAAATAAAATGTATAAAATTTATTTGTAAGATATAAAATTATACCTAATTAAGTTATTAAAAAATTAGAATATTTTATAATTATATTAATTTTAATAAAATAGTATATAATATATACTGTGATATTTTGTAAAAATAAAAATAGAAAAAAGAGTAAATTTTAACAATTTTTTAAGTTGATACATGTAAATCTTATATACTTGACTATTTTGAAAATTCTTTATTTAAGATAAAATTTGTTAAGATATTAGTTAACTAGTATTTTTAAACAATTTTACAAATTATTTTTGTAATATTTTTTTGATAAATAATCTATCAATTTTAACATTTTTGTTTGATTATATTATACTGAATTATAAGTTATATTTCAGGCAAATTTTATTATTGTATTATAATTTAATAGGTTATATGGATAAATATAAAAAAATTTGTAAAAAATATTTAATCATAAACTTCATAAATTTTAAGTGTTAAATCTTTATACTTATTTTCTTCACTTGAGAAAGAGCACATTTTGTTTTTTCTTCTCTACTATCACTAACAAATATAAAATAGTCTAATATTGATAATTTATCTTTCAATGATACAGTCTAATCAACATTAGTTATACATTTATTTGTTGTTAATTTGTACTTTTTTGAATAAAAATTCTTTTTCAAATATTAATTTTAAATATTTTAAAAAATATATAATTACATTCATATACTATTGTCCAGGATTATATATAAATTGACTTACAACATTTAATGTATAATAAATGTGATATTGTGTGTTAAATACATTAATTTCTTTACAAGTTTTTGACATCTTTATTTATTAATTAATATTTAATTTGATGCCATAGATAATTTTAATACCTAAAAAAATTTCAAAAAATTGTTTCTTCATTTTAAAACTTTTTTTATAAATATTTTGCTACTCTATTCAGGACATATGTTGTAATAATCATATCCTCTCGATCTTCAATAAATACAATTATCTTTTATATATATATATATATATATATATATATATATATATATATATATTTTTTTCCTATTTTAAAAAATATGATCTAAATTATTTTCATAGATTTTATAAACCTTTAAAACCGTTGGGAAGATTATATTAACTCATATAATATTCTTCTTTTAATGTACATATATTTTCTCTTCTTCTTTTTTTCTTCGAATGAAAGTTTTATATACGCACGTCTTTAATTAATTTTTCATATAAAAATGTAATTTTTTATATACATGTCTTCAATTAGAGTATTTTAAATAAAAAATTAAAAAAATATAATTATATCTTCAAAATTAAATAATATATGAAATTTTATAAAGAAAATAAAAAAAGAAAGAAAAAAGAAATCTCAATCCCAATATGTTTGCAAGAATCGTGGTGAATTAGCTGTGACTTGAATTCTAAAGTTGCATATGCATCTTGATAACTGAGTCAATGGACCTGTCATTGTTACATAACCAGCTTGAACCATGCTGTGATTGTGAACATAGTAAATTATCACTTCTCAATAGACACTCAACATTCTAGTATTGCATCCGTACACAAGTGAAGCTGTTACTTGACTAGTAAACCAGTGAGTGATGTTCACATAAAAGATGGAAAAATATTCAATTTCATTTTCAACCTACTTCCTTCTTATCTATAACTTCCCTTTTTATAGATTTTATTGTATCACTGATCATACATATTACTTTCTTTGTCTATTTTTTCTTGTTTCTTCATGTCTGAGGCCACCCTATTTTGGGGAGTACATTTATCATTACCCTAAAGGAAGCTCCGTGTGAAGAAAATAACATTCCCATCTGTGATCTGTAGTAGGAAAGAGAGAACAGTCTACCAAATCAAAATGCAGCAAAACTAAAATCCTTCACAGATGTTGTACTGAAGAAACATGTGGTGAGTTTGTTCCGTACGAAACAAGCATGAAGAAGAGAATGGAAATGGGGTAGTGGCTTAATGAACGAAAGTACATGTGACTATTAAATTACTATATATGTAGATTATACCGCAGGCAATGGTATTGTGAATCACGAGAACTTCACGTGTAACTCTGACCTCCTCGTTCAGTACAACCGACCAATTTTTTTTAGCTTCAAGAAATGCTGTGGTTGGACCACTTTGATCATAGAGCATTTCAGACATTAATGTTATCACCTCTGTCTCTAATGCTGTTAAGTTCCCACTGTCTAACATTTCTTTCACGCTTTCAGTTAATGAAGTTGTGCACCGATGCCTCAAATCAATATAATAAATAGAATTTTAAAGTTCTATATTTTTATATGAGGATCCAATAGGCACATTTATCATTCTTCTAAAAACATGAAGCTACTTAGAAAACTTCATTGCCACAGTATGGTTTTGGATCTCTTATGAGTGTTTGACATATGCAAATAAAATGGGAGAAAACGATTTCTGAATTAATCTTTACTAAAATTACATTGTGTGTTTCTACTTAAACATCTGCAGATGAAAATATGAATTTGTGAAATGACGTGAGTATCTATCAGCCTGAGACAGGACCAGATAAAGTTTTTGTAAAATGTGATGGAGATTTGTGCAAGATTCAAGGAAAGAGGAATTTTGTGTCAAATCAACACGTTGAGAAAAGAAAGAAGGGATTGTTGTAAAATTCAAAGAATAATTAAACTGAAACAAGAAGCAACACTAACGCGGGAATAAAAAAGTTTATTTAGGAAAGTGATAAGAAAGTTCTGTAGTTATTGCTCAAAACGCGTGAGAGGAACAAACATGAGATTATACTTAAAGAGTGTTTGCTCTCATAAAAAGTTTAATTTGATAGATCATTTCTATTCGATGTGTTGTCACAATATATAGGACTAGGAATATAGGACATTCATTTCTCTAAACAGGAAAAAAAAAAGACTAAAGATTAAATTATGAGTAAAAAATTATAAAAGTGAATACAAATAAAGATTAAATCATTCAAATTGCTAGATGTAAAACAGGTTAAATACTGAGGTCAGAAGAACCTGGTAGAAGCAACAAATTGCTGACAGGCGCATTATTCAATATTAAGTGCTTAAAATTGGATGCAGACCACAGAAAAGAAGGAATAAAAAAGTAGCACAGATTATTATTAGAACAAGTCGTTGGAAAAATGTTAGCATTTGGGAAGAGCACGAGGTAGAGCAAGTGGATGATCATCCTTTGCAATCTATGACTCATTTAGTAACTCACTGAACTGGCTTTTATCACATTTAAATAAAAATTTTATGCCCCTTCTTATGGAATCTAAGTCAAAAACTTGAAACTTACGTCCTTGGCTACTTTTATTGGGCATCTAGGATGCTGCACAAGGAAAAAAAAGAGGAAACTTTCTCCCTTTAGTTTCATTACATTAGCAAAATGCTTTCAGGCTATGCAAAAGCCACTTTAGCTTATTTTTATGTTATTTCTGGGGGAAAGAGATACCAACAAGTAGTATTTGGAATTTTTATATTTTTATTTTGGATTTCTTCCCTGTAAGGAGAAACAAAAAATACAGTGCTAAGGGGCAGAAAATTCTGGTCTATCATCATGTGTACGAATCTTGTGATTCAAATCCATTGCTCATGCAAATATCTCATTACTGCATCTATATTCTTGCTGTTTCCTCCAAAGCTGTCAGAGTCCTGTAACATATTCTGATATTCAGTTGGCTTGGATATCCATCATGCAACTTTTGCCTGCACATTTTAAACTAAGCCCAGCAAAATCTCCTGTCTAATAATTCCTTAAGAGAGGAGAATAATGAGATTATAGTATTGAAATGAAGGCCAAATTTTTTATTTTGTAAATTTATAATTAACTATGTCTCACACATATCATATCTTTAGATAACATTGTAAAGTTATACTATTTTTTCCCACTAGTCTAAAAGTCTTGGATGCATCACTGGTTTTCACCTTAGAAAGTCCGAATTGATTATTAAAAATGAAGCCAAATCAAGTATACTATTCGTTAGGATGAGGTTAGTTCATCAAATTCTGTTTCTTGAGTGATCACCCAAGAGGTTCAAATAATTTAAAGATTTTGTGGCATCGGATAAGCATTTTTTTTTTTTTTTTTAACAGTGGGAATGCAAACTTTGATGTTGAAAGCTGGGGCCCTAATTAAGTGCACCTTTTTTAGATCAAGTCAAGGTAGTAATAAGTTAGTCCATTATGATCTAAAACCTTCTAATGGTTGTTGTTACGAACTCATGCAAGATTCACAAAGCTTTACGTATCCATCAGTCACTTCCCTGATAATGTGGATCCAAGGAAAGATAGAGAGAAACAACAAAATAAAAGGCACTACAAAGAAAAGATAAAGAAAAGGAGAAGGCTTTTTGAGTTTTGTCCTGATGGGCAACCATAAACTCCTCCATCATGCACAAGATTAAGGTAAGATTATAAACTAAAATAAAAGGGCAACCACACAGTTGAAAAATTGGAGACCCATATGTTGGTGGGTGGTGGCTACACATAGAATTATAGAGTGTGACATGGCAATGGAAGAAAGAGAGGGCTGGCTGAATTGCTTGGCTTGTTTTTATCAATTCCCGGCTATTAGGGTAAGGATTCCCAAAGGGTGAGGTGGGGCCCATTTTCTGTTTGTCTGGTGGGTTTGGAGGCACTGCACGCTCTTTCATGCCCCATCGGTGCCTCTTTACAAGACCAATGTGAGATAGGACCACAACCCCCCCCCCCCCCACTTCTATAAGAACCCCCCCATCCCTCACTAAACCAACTCACTCACTCTCAACACAACACAACACAACTTCAAAGCTTCAACCTTTAAGCCCAACAAAGCTTAAATCAAAGGATAAGAAAACAATAATTAACTCTGCAAGAATGAAGATGGGTAGTCCTAGCATGGGAGGCTCAAAGAGAAGGCTCTCAAGCAGAGGGCTTGGAGGTGCCCTCAGGGAGCAAAGGGCAAGGCTATACATAATTAGAAGGTGTGTGGTCATGCTCCTCTGCTGGCATGACTAGTACTAGTTGAGGTCTTCAAATCCAACCTTGATTTCAGGGACTATGGAAAACAAGATTGGTTATTTCTCTTCTTTTTATTCTTTTCTTCTTTTCTTCCTCTCTTTTTCTTCCTTTGATTCATATGGTGGAGTGTAAATAGCTGACGGGTGGTTGTTGTGGAAGAGTGTAACAAATTTTTGTATGGTTTGCTGGCCTTATAAATACATGTATGGCTTGGCTTTATGTACATCTCAATAACAGAGAATTATTTATAACAATTTCAATTTTATCATACATATTCCGAGTTTATTTTACTATTGTTTCTGTTTTTTTCTCTAGCTTTCTTTTGAATTCTCCTTTCTTTGATGCACTGATTCACTTGGATCATGCTCATATCGTCCAGGGTAATTGATTTATTCTTCTCATCTTGTTCTTCATCTCTCCTGCTCTCTTCCTCTCTCCACAGTGGTTAGATTCATGGAGAAAATATATTTTAAAAAATAAAGCATACAAATATGTTACTTATTTAACAGCTTGTGCATTCAGAATCTAGAACAAAATTTGTAGTTAAAGAGTACGAGTCCCCTAAAATCACTTTCTTAACAGAATTTCAGGTGGTCTTCAAAATTTTGTACAAATTTCATAAGAAGAGGCTTTATCTTGCCATATTATTATGGTGCTTAATTTCGAGCACATACCTTCCCACAGATTTGGAAACTGGGAAAGAATCTTGTGACATGGTGTGTTTTCTTACATTGCTGGGAATATTCAAGAGAGGAAGAGTTAATCCAAATCCAGATTATATTTTTGAAGTCTTTGAATTTCTGCAATTTCACTGAACAGCAGTAGTTGTACACAAACTATGGCACATTAATTGTATATTTTACAGTAGTTGTGTGTGGAGGCTACGATCTAACTCGTTAAAACTGGTGTAGACACAGGTATTGGCTTATGAAATTTACTTGAAGAGTACACCTTTATTCAACAAAATAATTTAATATAAGAGGTAAATATAAAGATCTAATATTTTTGCTTACTAGTTTTAGCATGAACCTTTAACTTAGAGAGAAAAAAGTAGACATGACATGGCGATAAAGGTGTTGTTGGTTAAGACATAAGATAGAATGGTGAGCTATAATTAGGTTATTCAAATTAAAAATTAATGAAAAAGAGAGAGCTTAAAAGTAAGATTAAGCTAATAGGAAGTGGCATTGCATAATTATTGGCATGATGTAGGCCCGTTAATCATTTGAAGTGAAGATTTTGTTGATGACTCAAAAATTGGAACAGTTAGCACAGTTCTAACATTTCATATGAATGGCTTTAGGAATCTACCTTTTTATCTTTTACCCAAAATGGCGGCATATATAAAGTGCTTGCAGCTTGAACTCAAAGCGTCACAGTATTCTTTTTCTAAAGCTCTATTCATATGCTGCTTCTTCAATTATTTGACCCTTTGAAATATAACAACTTACTTAAAAGTTTTAAATAATTCAAAAATTTAGTAAATCATCACTATCATCAAACTGGTGATTTGATCTTTCAACTGTTTAAAACTTTTAAAATAGATCCCGTAATCTAGATAGATATAATTAATTTTAATTCAAGATACTAAAAACATTTTATAAGATTAGAGAATCCATTTGTAAACTACACCTAACTTATTTTGAAAAACAAAAATCAAATTGAACTAGTATATTAATATGCATGTCATATTTTAATTTAACTAACAATTTCATATTTTAATTTTTGTTAAATATGTTAATAACATGGTTGTCTCTAGTGATAAAAAAAACATGTTATTTAATATACTTTTGAAAATTGTGTTTTAGAGTAATATGCATGGTATTTAATGTTTTAGTCACTTTCCAAAAGCAAAAAATGCAACCCAATTACGATGGTTAGAGACTATTGGGAAACATGAATTGAGTTCAATTCCATAGGTAGGACAAAGACCTTTGGTTGGTCTGCACTAACAAGAAGAAAGGGTGACATGGATCCTCTTGTCTTCAACCTAACAACATTAGATAAAGTATTTTAATGAGAATCAATTAGTTTCAATTCGACTTAATTATATCTAATTTTAAATCAAAGTATTAAAACAAAGTTTTTTTTTTTTTCTGAAGTCTCAAGGGCAAAGAAGTGTCTTCTTTTTGTCCAGAAGAAAAAGAAAAATAATGTTTTTTATATAATTGTTTGGTGAGAAAAAATGAAGTGTCTAAATTGAAACCCTAGATACCGCACTTTTAGCTAAACCAAACAACAACAAGGTTGAGTTTATGGTCAAATCTTTATGGAAGGTGGGCCTTGCTGAATTATTGGCTTTGAGCCCAGTTTCACGTGTACCACGTATCAACTTAATGGGCCTACATCTGTTAATAATGCTTCTAATTCTTTTGTCACCTTGAGGACGATCATCCATCAATATTGACCAAAAGAAAAAAACAAAATTATCAACACACACAAATTAATGAATAAATACAAAATTAAATGTATAGTATGTGAACTATTGAAGTTGTGTAAAATTATTAGAACCTAAAAATTATGTTTATCTAAATATAATTCTAAAAAAATAGATTCCAATAAAAATCTAGCCTCAAATTGACAATAAAATTTATATCATTGAATAATTGAGTTTTTTTGGATGAGTGTGAATAAGGATAAATTGGTAGTTATCTTGCATAATTATTTTCCACTGTGATTTAGTTTTTATTTATTTATTTATTTTGTGTAAATTAATCGTTGAATACTTATTTCAGCTATGTAATTTTTAAAATTTGAGATGTAAAAAAATTGACTTATACAATGATTAAATTTAATTATTCAACTAATAATGAAAAATGATTTAGAAACTAAATTGTGGAATTATTACTTAAAAAAATAATGATAGGGGACGCATGCTTTTGTCGGTGAGAATTAGGGTAATATAGTAAATAAGTGTAGTTCAACGGGTTGTTTCTTAAATTCAAATGTGAATGGACGCTACGGTGAACAAAACAATAAAATATAAGTGAAAACTAAATAAAAAAAATGGAAAATCGATAAAAACATTTTTTTTAAGTTTTAATTTTGTCTTAATATATCAGTTTAATTCTTATTTATATTAATTAAAAAGTGGTTTATTGTAGAATTTGATTATATTGTATTAGTAATTTATTTTAAATATAAAAAAATTAAAATTATAAATATAATAATAGAAATTATAAAAACAAATTACAATATGTATTTTATTATAAAATGTTAACATTTTTTAATAATTTGTAATGATTCAAACCTTCAATTTTTATTCGTATGTTTGATTTGGGTGAATTTTGAAAAAACGCAACCAAATTAAACGGTAAAAGTTATTTGAAGTGACGATTTTGATCCTATTATATGATTTGAAACATTGCAAATAAATAAATAATATTATGCACAAATATTATGTTTCTGAAAAGAAAATGATTTTATTTAATCTTCTTTATCAGGATATGGTTAGTTTTTTTCCGAATCCTTATAAACTTTTGTAATTTTTTAATATTCTATTTTTTATTATTATGCGAATATTTTTAATTGTTTACAAAATATTGCATAATAACGTGAGTGTTATATACAATCTGAAAAAATATAGAAAATGTTATGTAATTTACCTTTTTTGTTAACTTGTTTTTTATTTTTGAGTCCCACGTGTAATTTTATCATAGATCCAGCAGGACCGACTAAATAGTGAAAAATTAATGTAATTTAGATGAATTTTTATGTTCAAATCTTAGTAGTACCATTACCATATACCAAAATAATATTTTTACTAGAAGAATTTCTTAATTGTGAAATTTTAAATTTTGATCCTATTTGAATAATCCCTTTTTAAGAATAGCCTAATTTAAGCTAAAGACGTGTAAAAAAATAGCAGTTTTTTTTTCTTGTATATATATAAAATTATAGTCGTACAATGGACGAGTTCGTAATACAAATGTGAATGATAATAAAATATTATTTAGTAAAATTTAGTTTTAAATAATGTTTTTTTAAAATATGTTAAAAAAATCACGTATTGTATGTGGAGGTGGAAACTTCAAAGGGAAAATCATAAACTTACAAGAAAATTTTAAATTTGAAAATATAATAAAATCTTGAAAAACATGTTCGAATGATGCAAACGAGGAATATATTTAAGCAATGATAGAAATAAAAAAAGACAAGATGAAGAGAAGAAAAGGTGAAGGAATTTTGAAAGCATGGATTGAGGTCTAAAGTCCTTAGAAAAGGATCTAATAATCATATGATTTCTAGCACTCATCTTTTTATTGATTTCTATAACACTCTCCTGATTATTTATTTATTTATTTTATGGAAATGTTATGATGTGTGTGGATGATACGAGAGAGGGTGAAGTAAGGGTTAGGGCACCCACGTGCGCCTCCCTTATCATAAAACCCCACCGCGTCCTTTTGATTCTTTTCCAGTCACACCATGTCTTTCCTCTCCTCTTCTCTTGGTCCCCTCCACTTTCCATACATCCCCTTCTACTCATTTTATATGCATCCCCCTTTCTCTTATCCTCTTTTAACAACCATTATTCATCACTAAATCATTCTTCCTTATTTTATCTCAATATATCTCTGCTTTTCATTAGGGAGGGAGAAGAAAATGTGTATCAAAAAGTGTTGTTTTTACAAATATACAAGTTCATGGTTAATACGTCCACATAAATTAGATTATATGCTGTTAAACTAGACACCTACAATTTTGTAGGGTGTTGATGGGTCAGACTCCTCATGGAATGACATTCCCTGCACTGCACCTGCTGCCTGATACAATATGTTTTTAATAAAATACCTATGATTCATGATGATCATGATTAGTGTTTACTTGAAGGCTATTTTAATCTTAAGACAATGCTTTAATTTATTTTATTGTTGATATAAAATATTGCTTAAGATAGTTTCTTCCAAATGTTCGGGATCGATGGGAAAATTCATCTTGATGTTTATATTAAGATCAAGATTTTTTATAATTTCACAGGTCATAGCCAACATATAAGATGCAATGTTGCAATTGGTGACAAGGTCGTTATTAAAGAAAAAAATACTAACATTGTTGTTCCTTCTATCCAACAAGCGTATAATTATGACGTTAGGGCCGTAGTGTAAATATAAGAAGAAAATATATTTTACACCGCAAACAACAAAACAAGTAATATAATTGCATCGGCTTATCTTCGCCAGTGAAGTGAACCAAATCAAGTAATAATTTTGCAGCTCGTCATTGTCTAAGCCAGATAATTTGTCTGTGAATAACAGCACAGACAGCATTGTCTTTGGTACAATACCCAAGTATTTTGAACACAGTAAACTGACTAGTGCCGGTTTATGTTGCCTCGTGAAGAATTGCACTAATATGAGAGACACAATTTCACTATGATTTGGATTGTCTAATGTTGGATGACCCACGATTTTCTCATACAAAGACCATAAAGGAATCATTTATAGTGTCTGTCCCTCTTGTAGAATGACACGTTAAGATGAAGGAATCCAAGCTAACAAGGAGGGGAGAAGGGGTTTTCAAATGTTTCTAGATTTACAATTGCTTTGGACGTAAATCAAGACAAAAGACAAGGCAAAAAGATAAGGTTATGAACTCATAATTGCATGGCATTGTTATGCTGAGAAAATATAGCTATTCTTTACCTCTCCAAAACTAGTAGCATGATGTCAATAGAGATAAGAAACAAGATTGAATAGCAAGCATGGCATCAGAAAGAAGTATACACTATGCTCTGATTAAATACCACATTATTCCTCTCATTTTAATTTTTCTTGGGCTGTTCAAAGACCAGTTTATTTTTTTCACAACAGCAATGCCAGCATTAGTATTAGGTACTTTTATTATCACTTCATGGCATGCCTAGTCTAGTCAGTCTGTAAATAGTAATTTGTTCGACCTGTGTTCCTCTTGCGGGACACCCTCCAGAACCGATAGGCATTAATGCTACCCCTGAAAATGAAAGCAAGCTCGTGGCTGGCTCTTACAAGCCAACACAACCTGGAATAAACTGTAACACTCTTGATGTTCATGAATCTGGCACCACTATAAATTGTTTTAGAGTTTAACGGTAGACAATACATTTGCCTATAGGGACATAATACTTCAAAGTTTTAAAAACAGCAATATACATGTGTATCTTTCACTTTTCAGTGAGAAACATGTGTCCGTCTAAATTTGGGCAAGTCAGGTCCACATCCAAGATCTGAGAACCTGGAAGGGACGTACTACAATTTCACCACAACAAAGGCAAGGGTTGATTCAGTATGATTCGTCAAAGTATCAAATCAAAAGTTCACTGTCTTCCACAAAAGCCCAAGTAGTAAAGCAAATAAGCAATATGTCAATTTAGTCCTGGTTTACAACGAGAATTTCTCAAAAAAAGAAAAATTACAAAAATCTTTGCTTCCCATTTGAGCTGAACAAACATAATAGTCGACTGCTTTGTTGGCAAACTACCAGGAAAGGCTATCCTATGAAAAGAAGCTTTTTCCTTTATGATTGACCCATTTATACCAATTGGGTTACTGGTGTTACTCGATCTACTAGTGCCAGCATCTGTATCAGAAACAATCAAGAAAACTAGGTGGTGGTAACAACTAAAATGAACTCAATGTAAGGCCAAATCATTGAGAACATGGATTTACCAGCTGATTTAATCGCAATTCTAAAGGCAGTGTCTCGAGCCTGCATTTGCAGTGTCAAGGACAAGATTTTGGCACTCTTCTATATCTTTCTTTAGATGCTCTGGTCCTATATGAGCGTAGACAAAAAGACTTGGTCGTTTCTTGTGTTCATTTTCCCAATCCCTAGGGGAGATTGGCTTTGAAGTAGATCATCACACAAGGAAAATGTTTCAACAAGTTGTTGGAACTCAACAATATTCTACGACTCACTATCCCACCATTTTGAGTCTTCCTCAGCATTATCTTCTTCATTATCTAAACTTTTATTATTTTGAGTTTCTACTGGTATATCATCTTTTGCAATATCTTTTATCAGCCGGAAGGTCATGTACACAATCCATCTGAAGATGCTTTGGAAGAATATAGTGCAGCAGACAAAAAAATAAGAATAAGTGTAGGTGCTACTTTTCACATTTCCCACTAGTAGTAGTGGTAGCTATCAAAGTTAATATCACTAGGCTTTCAAATCATTGTCATTCAGGTATTAAAAAAAAAATAAAGACATCAAGAATCTTGGGAAAACTGTTAGGTGACATTTCAGGTGTATGAAATTTTTTCAGTGTAGTGGTAAGTAAGCATGCATCTATTGGGAGCAAAACCACACGAAAAAAATATCTACTCTAAAATACGCCAGATCATAGCCCATAGTTTAATCAAATTAGACTAATTCATTAACCGGAGCAAATTAGATATTTGCTGCCATAGAAATAAAACCACAAATTTGATCTATTTTTTTTTTATATTAGAATAATACAACTTTCACTTTGATTTTGACATCTAGCAAAAGACTTGCAAAAGATTAAATTTAAATGCTTAAAATGTTTGAGTGAAGAAAAAAAAGGGTCCAAAGTATGATTGCAAACGAACGGTTAGATTCTCATCCTAAAGCAAAGCAAAACACAAAAGTAGAAAATGTTTGTGGCAAACAGATGATAAAAAAAATTTAGATTTGCAAAGAAAATAAGGTTTAAAGTTTTACCTGAGGAATGTGATGTGATTCTTGTCCTAGGTCAAGATTTGAACATTGCTTTTCAGTACAAGGAGGTTCAGGAGTCACAGATTTGGGAGTGACTGGATCCACTTTCATTGTAGTTGCTTCAGTGATTTCATGAATATAATGGTCCTCTTTTCACCAAATTTCACTTGCTTCTGGTAAAACACTTAAGAGATAACATAATGTCCATTTTTTTCATCCTCTTCTGTTCCTAGATGATATTGATGCATGACCCAATTAGTTATCTCAAGGTTTTCCTCCTCTTGACCATAATCATTTTACAGCCCTTCTGAACCCCATTCGAGATAACAGGTTTAGTCCTTCCAGTCTTGTGCCAGTGAATATCAGCAAAATCCAGATCACATATTTTCCGCATTTTCAACTGCCAGTATTATAAACCTTGATTGATCGAGGGGGAAAGTAATATGAACTTCCATCTAGCATGAAAGCTAGATTTATAATCATAGAACTATTTATATTGATTGAAAAATAAGCAGTAAGATTTGAATAAAATTCAAGCTATCCAACTGATAAATGTTGAGGATGAGTATAACATATCCCACCATCTCATGAAAGGGTGAGGCTTTGAATTTTCAGCACCAACTTTTGCAAGCAAGTGCCATCTTATCTCTTGATCAGATGGATCAAATTTAACGCCAATAGGTAATCCAGGCCACTCTTGTGCCACCTAGCAACATAAAGTTTCAAATTTAAGAATGCGAACAGGAATAAATGCAATACTTGGGGAAAAAGGAGATGAAAATTTTATATATGTTTAAACTTTTAACAATGATAATAAACTTTTAAGACACGTTTCTGTGAATCCAGAAACATGGCAAGTATCACAACTCAAAATAAGAAAAGCAGACACTCAAGTTACAAACATTTGAAATCATGAATATGCATTCGTGAGAATGGTACTTTGACAATAATTGTAGCCCTCTAGTTTAGTTGGTATCTTATATCGAACTTTGTGGACAAAAATCAGGAGACACAGTAAAACTGATGGTTCCTTCTCCAGAAGTTTAATAACACATTACTAAGTAATAATCATGCTAAGGGCGCTCAAATGCTCCTATGCAATCCAATGATATTGGACTATGAAACCTACAAAGAATGTATATGCGCAAATAGTCAAATAATATATTGATTGTATGGTGCATAATTCTGCTTCCTCTTTTTCCCCTGGCTTCTTTCTAACAGGTTTGATGATTTCCGGGTGTATTACATCAATTTCTAAAAAATACAATATTAGAAACAGCAAGGAAGAATGTGTTAAAATTAGGGAATTTGGTTTTTGAGGGACGAGATTTAGAAAATACACTAGATAGTATTCTTGTAATTATGATATATAACTGAATACAAAAACATAAAGCAATAACCTTTATTTACATAACACTAGAGCTAATCCTAAACAAATAAAGAAACAAATAATGAAATATCAGAAAATATTAAAACTAATCCTAAGAGATAATCCAACATATTCCAAATAATAAGATACAATCAAAATATAATTAGAAATTTTGATATATTCTAGCACTCTCCTTGAGCTAAAGCTTACTAAACTTTACACATGTTACAATTAACCCCTTTAAATATAATATAAGCTCCACCAACTCGGATGAAATGACTGTTATCCTAGAAGATGATAGGGTCAGGGTGTGTAGTTTAGGACTACAGATTGGGGGGCTAAACCATGTCTGCCGTTCATATCAGACCAGACCACATCTGGGACAAAAACTTAGGCCATATCACATGTGGAGAAAAGATCGGTGGGTGCAAGCCATATCTGGCACTGAGATCAGGATTGGATTGGACCAGTCTGGGATAAAAAATGTGGCCAAATCTAATCATGGACAAAAACTAGTAGAGGACAGATGATGAGGACATAGCAAGGATCTACTTGAAGGACTTGGAGGACCTATGACAATGGTTAGAACAAGGGAAGCAAAGGAAGTTCTTCAACAAGTGTTGTCCATATTATTTGAATACAAACTCACATTTCAAGGAAAAAATACCAAAGTTGTGAATTGCATCATAACCCAAATAAAGGAGGACTAATGCATGACTTTGCTTCAGTTTTTAAGTTTGTTTAAATAATGACCCAATCCTTTATAAAATTGACTGACCAAATTATGTTTTGGGTTAATCAATTAATGGGCTTTAATTTTGTTTTATTTCAAGTTATAATAAGGGCCCAATTGGAAACTTAGGCATCAATCTTTGGAAGGCAAGAGTGCATGGCTGATTGCTTTTTGGTGACTTTTGGTTGCCACAATTTCAGTTACAATTAACCATTAAACAATTTTCAATTCCTAGGTAATGGATCATTATTAACATTTATTTTTCTTTATTGAATCTTTGTATCTCTGATGATAAAACTTCTATATAAACTGAACCATTTTTATCAAGAATACAAGTTGAGTTTTAGTGATTCTCCTAAGTTCTTGAATGATTCAAGAACCTTGGCTGTATAAAAGGACTTTCATATCCTTTGTGAGTTGTCTTCCTTGAGAAAAATGATTCTTTTCTTTGACCTTTCACATTCACCTCTTATTCTTTCTTCATTAGAACTTAGAGAACTCAATTTTGCCCAACCCTGAAATTTTCACCACTTTCTAATTCACCTTCTCACTAATTTCCTAAATTTCCTACAAGTTTCTAACCCTAAAGATCCTAAGTCAGTCCATGTATCAACTATTGACTCTTCATTTCTATCTCTCTCCTTTTGTAACTTGTTCCACCAAACAAGAGCATAGTCAGAAAATTCCGTTGTTGCAAGTCTCACCTTTGGGGTCTCCTCATAATTGTTGCATGAGAAAACATACTCTATTTTCATCTCTCACTCCAAGTATGCCTCTGGATCACTTTTTCTTTTGAACGGAGGAATGTTAAGCTTGACTCCTTCAAGCCTTTGCTACTTCATAATTCATTCTCCTATTTCTCCTTTCTTCTTCGTCTTCAGGATTTCTATTCTCCAACCGGTTCAATCTTTCATGGAGCTCATTGTTATGTCGTATCATTAATCTTTCCAAATGTTGTACCAATACTCTCATTTGAAATAGACTAATTCCTGCTTCTTGATTGTAATTTTCCTCTTCTGCCATCAATTTGATGTTTAAGCCCTTAAACCGGGGCTCTGAATACCAACTGATATGAATCACAAGGGGTAATTTAGGATCTTTAGGGTTAGAACCTTGTAAGAAATTTAGGAATTAAAAAGAAGGTGGAAGGAAAGAATCACTCTTCCCAAGGGAGGCAACACACAAAGGATGTGACAGTCCTTTGATATAGCCAAGGGTTCTTGAATCACTCAAGAATTTAGGAGAATCACTCTCACTAAGATAAAAGAGATAAACTCTAATATTTCTGAATAAAATTCCACTTGTTATTTCTTGATAAAAATGGTTCAGCTGATATAGAAGCGTTGTCATCAGAATTACAAAGACTCAATAAAAGAAAATAAATACTAATAATAACTCATTAATCTAGGAATTGAAAACTATTTAATGGAAACAAATAAAGACTAATAATGATCTATTAACTTAGGAATTGAAACTACTTAATGACAGTCAATCAGCTATGCACCCCTTGGTCTTCCAAAGGCTGATGACTAAATTTTCAATTGGGCCCTTATTACAACTTAAAACAAAATCAAACTAAAGTCCATTAATTGATTAATTCAAAACATAATTTGGTCAACCAACAATATTTGTTGAAGAGCTTCATTTATTTCCCTTGCTCTAGCCCTTATCATAGGTCATGTTCACATCATTCTCTCCCTCTTGAAAATAGAGGAACCCAATTGAAAATATGAAGATGACCTATGATATGAATATCACCAGTGGAATTGAAAAATCATCTTCATTTACACATGACATGAATATTAGGAATGATCTTCTTGATGCTACAAGAGCTGAAACTGGATATTTGCAATAGCTTATAAATCTCGGTAATTTTTTTATATAACACAAAAGCTAATTGCAGTTGATTCAACTCAAATAAAATTTTGACTCAAAACCAATTCCTCAACAAGGGACCAAATATGTGAACATTTACTTAAAATCATGTCATCTGTTATTTCAATATGATTTTAGAAGATCCAACATAAATTTAAATGGGCATTATAAGTTAACCATGTCTCGTTAATTGTTAAGTGGTAATTAAGGCAAAAGGATGTCATAACTAACCTTAAACCTGGGTTAAACTGACTTAGCCATTTGATTACTAGTTATCATACAAGTACAAAATGATGAGACTATCTCCTAGAGTATAGAGACAAATATAAAGAGAAGTGACAGTTTCTTTCCTATAAGTAAATATTAAAATGCTATTGCGTTAACATTTTGCTTTCAAATTATATCAAGCTAGGGTAAATCATTTCCTCTCAATTTTATTTTCTTAATATCATAGAAGCTCCAACCAGGCACAACTCTTTTTCCTATATATTCAGTCAATCACTCTCAGAGAACACTACTGCCAAAACTCAGCAAAGAACCATACATACCATCAAAACTAGCACAATTATGATGAAATATAGTAATGAATTAAAAACTAAAAAAACGCAACTACAAAACTAGAGGCGAAGGAGGCAGATAACAAACAATTTACATGAAATAAACCTTACATGCACAATTGCAATATCTATCTCTACACAGAACAGATGTTCCTGTGAAATAAAGAGCTAGATTCAAAAGATATACATACATCACTGTTGTCAATAACATGACGTCAATTTGGGCAACTTCTGGTAGGATAGCTTTTCCTATAACTTTACCACATGTTCCAGGCGCCCTCTTTTTTTTGTCATAATTCTACTTTTGTCCACCAACCACGATGGTCTGCATAGACAAGTAGAAACACAAAATTTTAACAGTTCGAGACCGTGCATCACTACAGAACATAAATCATAATAAAGCAAATGGTCCAAAAAGTAAGATCATAATAATAAGAGTCACTTATCTTTAGCTTCCAAAGGATAATAAATTTCAGTAAAGAATAAATAAATAAGGTTACAAGTAAATGTGGTAGAATTAATTAAAGACTAATTCAAACGAGGGAAAAATACTTGACCCTCTTAAACTAGAACAAAGATGGATTAGAAACTCAGGAAGAAACACAATCTAAGCGGCACATAAGAAGAAAAAAATTATCATTTGGTTATCAGAAGAAAAAAAATTATCATCTGATTCGAACTATCTATGCCAACTGAGTAAATTTTGACATTTTTATCCAATTTTTACTAAGTTTCAGATAAATTATGATCAAGATGGGAAAAAATTGCTGACAAATGCAGCCAATATGTCATGGTCATAGTTCACGTTCCTTGATATTATGGGGAAAATTGCTGGCAAATGCAGCCAATATGAGCACAATCACAGTCGCCGGGTATTCTAGAAACCTTGAAGTTATAGCCAAAATCGAGGTCGTTGACTGTTTTTTGAAACCTTGCTTATGATCAAAATCATTGATCACAAACTTTTTTGCTGAAAATCTATTTTACTGTAACACAACTAACAGTAAGCAGGGTACCATTTGGATTATAATTACAGAAGAATGCTAAACTAGCTAAGGACATTCCATTGCCAAATGCATAATCACAGAAAGGTGAAGAATAGAGGAAACAAAAATCTGAACTTTCAATTACTTTAGGGTGATCATCCATTTAGTTCTCACTGATAGACCAATGAACAAAGCAGGCAGGATAACCACGACAAACTCAATCCAAACCCCAAAAAGGTACGATCTTACAGGGAAGCAGTAAACCCCAATACAGTCAGAAAAACGGAAATCAATGGTCTAATTGCGCTAAGATGATTGAATGGAATAGTTTGAAAGTAAAGCGGGGAAGGAAAATACATACCGGCCACAGGAAAGTGGTCGGAGAACAATGGAACCAATGAAGAGAGGATCGGAGACAGATTAAAAACCCTTAGTTTTTAATTGTAAATTTATCCATTGAAAAAGGCTTTTCATTCATTAATTTTTTAATTTTTTTCTCCCTAATATATATGATATACAAAATAAAATATATTTTTATATAATAATCATTATAATATTTTTTACTTTATATAATAATAATTGTTTGATCAAGTTGTTAATAATTATAAATAAATAAATAATGTTATGTCACATTTACTATTAACTTAAGTATATTAGTGATTTTATTATAATAAAAATTAATTTTAATAAAGATGATTATTAATAGTAGATTTCTAGTATTATAAGCATTAAGTTTGTGAAATTTTTACTGAGTAAATTTGATTGTATACATATTTAGATTTTACTTTTCCATAAGAACAAATTATTTTAATGTATATTAATGAATGATACTTAAATTACTCACAAAACTAAACACTTTTTTAATGATAATAATAATTAAAAATTTAATAAAATAATTAATAATTAATAAAAATCAAATAAAATAATTTAATAATATTATATATAAATATTTATTATATAAAAATATATTTTATCAGTATATTATCATAAATATTTAATCTTTTTAGTGTAAATATCATTTTATCTTTTAAAATGAATTAATTATTTTGACTAAGGCTTCATTTGTTTGTACGGAAAATATATTAGAGTAGAAAATGATAAATAATTTAAGAAAAACAAAAGTAATGATTTTTTTTATTTGAGGAAAATAATGAAAATAAAATATCACTTTCCAGATATATTTACTTTTTCTTGAGTAAAAAATAAAAA